ACACTTTTTATCTATTCTAAAGGTCTCTTGATTTCTTTTTGTCCCATTATTTTTTCTCAGTTTAATGATCTTATCAACATGGAAAATTGGATTGGCTTGCTTTGTTCAAATGTTTTTTTGTTTTGTTTTTTAAAATTGAAAACAACATTGGCATTTACTGTGTTTAATTTCACACTAACATTCGCACTTGGAGCAAATAATCTCTCACACAATGTAACACTGTCCATCAATAAAAGGGTGAAAAAAAATACTGCCGAGGTATACTGATATTGACGAGGGAGCGGAGAATTCGCATCAGCTGTGATCAAGTGGTATTTCAGACTGGACTTGCTGCGATGAAAGCTCAGTTCACAACAACAAAACACAAAGATGACTTTGGTCTTTTCAATGGAACCATTTGGCAACTTTTTAAAAGTAAACTTTCCATTCAGGATCTTATAGAGTGCCAAAGTTATGACATCACTTTTAGGCCAAAACGCAGAAGGGAGTTAGCATTTTAGCACTTTGGTTCCCTCATCCTAAAGTCTATGGCTTTTTTGAATGGGTTTTTGCTAAATCGACTGAAATATGGTCTGTGGTTAACAACGCCTCTAAATATTTTCACGTTTTGATCTGACATAAAACACACAGTTATAACCTGCTTGTGGTTTTTTTTAAACTTTATTGTGTCTGCTTGTGTTTTCATTGAACTTTATTTAAGTTTCAAAATATATAAATTTTGGATTAACTTGTAAAGATAATCTTGATAGACGAAATGTGTAAGGGTCACAATGCTTTGTTGAACAGAGATCTTATTTTTTGCGATTTTCCAAAAGTCTATGGGAAAAATGCATAGCTTTTCGATCGAGGGAACCCATGCGCCACTAACTTCTGAGTTGCCCTACAAAGTGACGTTGTAACTTCGGCACTCTATTGGCATCCATTTCGGCGTCACAAGCTCGTCATCCACTCAAAATGTAACGTTGAACACCAGCTCGCAAGCCCAAACAAATGCGTGTGGCGTTCCTGTTGTTTAGTTTCTGGTCTAGCTACTGTAGATCTGTTTGTGCTTTGGTCGACAAGCATGCTGCTGGCCGCATCCTGTTACAAAAGCATGTGAAAAAAACGAAAAAAAAAAGTTATGCACTATGAAAAAATTTACGCCAATTAAATGGGTGATAAAATGGCGCCGACAAAAACGTCGTTAATAACGTGAACTGACAGACCTAATTTAAACATTTTAAAATAAGATGGTTAGAAAAAAATATCAGCCCAAGTCATGAAAATATATAATATAATATGGTTTAAATGTACTCTCACCTCATATTTTTTGGTTCAAAACGTTTTAGTTATTTAAAAACATTAAACTGCACATGACATTGGGACCAAAGTGGATCTGTTCTTTTCTTGGACATGGAGAAATAGTATGTTCGAAGTATGTGTTCTAGTGTATAAAATATGTGCAGCGCACATTCCCTGATCCTATTATGTCAGTGCCGAGCAAGCAATTGTGTCCGCAGAGAGAGACATCGCCTCAGGGAATACGCTCACTAAAGCACACTGGGACATCTGAGCCACAGAGAGATGTGTGGGACAGAAACTCCTCTTTCCTCCTGACTGATCTGATCTGAGAGGATGAAACAAACATCATTTCTCCCTGTTGTTTGAACTTAATTAATTGTGCATCAGTGAAAATCACACAAACAAATTATCAGAAATTGTTGAAAGGGTGCTTTATAATGATGGCAATATGTGAACATGAAAATGTATAAAAGTTGTGCCTAACAGGTATTTTTATTTTCTTAAGTTTTTGGAATTGGTAAATGGACTGCATTTATATAGCGCTTTCATAGATCTAATGGCCACCAAAACGCTTTACATAGCGCCTCACAGTCACCCATTCATACACCGACGGCGGTGTCAGCCATACAAGGCGCCATCCAGCTCATCGGGAGCAGCTGGGGTTAGGTGTCTTGCTCATAGACACCTCGACATTTGGTCAGGCGGAACCGGGGATTGAACCACCAACCTTTCGGTTTGTAGATGACCTACATGAACCACTGAGCCACTGCCACCCCTTAAAAGTGTTTAATTTGTTCATAGGATGCTTTTGTAACAGGATGCGGCCAGCGGCATGCTTGTCGACCAAAGCACAAGCAGATCTAGCTTGACCGGAAACTAAACAACAGGAACGCCACACGCATTTGTTTGGGCTTGCGAGCTGGTGTTCAACGTTACATTTTGAGTGGATGACGAGCTCGAGACGCCGAAATGGATGCCAATAGAGTGCCGAAGTTACAACGTCACTTTGTAGGGCAACTCAGAAGTTAGTGGCGCATGGGTTCCCTCGATCGAAAAGCTATGCATTTTTCCCACAGACTTTGTTTAGGGTCTCTTTAGGGAAAGTGTTTAGGGTCTTCTACCGAAATAAAATATTTTAGAGAGGGAGTAAACCTCATCTTGCTTCATACCCATTTATCCTTCATTCATCGTTGGAACCCAAATGAGGATATTTAAGATATTTTATTTAAAAATTCTGTATCAAACATGCATGCTTCACATGTCAGAACAAACCTCATTGACTATGTAGACTTTCAATGGACAAAAGGATGAGAGAATATTAAAAATAAAAGATGAACATGAGTGAGTCTTCTGGGTTTGGAACAACATGAGGGCGAGTAGCTTAAATTATTTTTTCACTGGCCCGACAGTGGAAAAGTGACATTGTAAGCCAGGGCTTACTATTCACTGGGCAGGGCCAATAAGCCCTGTAAGGAGGAGGGGAATGGCTTTAGAAACTCCAAAATGGTCGTGGCTTCCTCCCATTGAGAGACAGACACGACACGCATGCATGTACTGTATAACAAGAGAACATAAAAAGAGAACACATACTTATTCAGTCACATCTGCTTCAATTTATTTGTGTTCACAGGAATGGACAAAACAACTCCATTAAGGCTTTTATACGGTGGCCCAGTAGTACACAACAAAATGAAATCCAAGCAAAGCAAACATAAGTTGACAACACAACAAAATGAATTCACAACGGAAAATGTACAACATAACATGACAGGAATTATGTGATTAACTCTTTCCCCACTAGTATTTTTGAAAGAAGTTGCTAGCCAGCGCATATTTTTGATAAACATAGTTGCATGGCCCCCTGAATTATTTTGTTGTATGAATATCTGATCGTGCAATCAAAAGCAAGAACAGACCCTCTGCTTCTTCCCAAAATTCTAGATTTTTATATCCTAGCTTTATTCTAGCCTTTGGACACATGAAGACACATGCCTTTGGTGTGAGAGACCCGGGTTCGAATCCACTGTGAGACACCCACAATGTGTCCCTGAGCAAGACACTTAACCCCTAGTTTCTCCAGAGACGGGCGACCTCCTCTGACATATATAGCAGTTGTAATTTGCTTTGGATAAAAGCGTCAGCTAAATGAATAAATGTAAATGTAAATTGTTTTAAATGTTTATGTTTGCTGGTAGCCTGATAAGATGACATGGTGAAATGAGAAGCAGCCCTGACCCTGTCCTGACTCAGGAAAAACTCCACCTTTGTTCATGACCAGTTCTCAAGCCCCATTTGGCCCACTTTGGACCAAGATAAGTGTGGGTATCTGCAGTTTGCTGAATGGGCACGATGAAAGGAAGAGATGTGCTGAAAGGTCTTTATAGTTGGTTGCGAAAGCTGCCTGTTAGGGTGTCAGGTAGGGTTAGTTTCTGTTGTGGCATTTCACCTTTCAGCCCAGAGCAAGCCTTGGAAGTGACAGTGGAAGCGCGACTGGCCCTGGCATGCACTTGCATGCTCGATTTTGGCTCGACAGTGGAAGCACAGCTAATTAAAGATTTTAAAGCTGTGTTTGTGTTTAAGTATAATTAAATATTCATAATTCCACACAGCTTTGTGGATGAATAAAACGGTTATGATAAAAAACATAAAACAAAAATGAACTCTTTTTACATTTTCCCTAATTAGTATCATTAACAAACAATGGAAACTAATTATCAATGCAGCAAGTCTGATTTCAGGCTATACTGTTAGTTATTGATGCAATGTCTTGTTTGCCTTTTGTCAGTTGTCGATAGTCTTCCTTATCGTGATGTATATTCCAGTGAAATGGCTTTTTGAACAAGAAAAAATGTAGGAGACTTAATTTTGCCCATAGGGAATTGATGTGGATCATTGTGGTGCTTTCATGTGAATGACATGTCAGGGCGTTCCACCCTCATGCCATTAAACGCATTAGAGAAGAGATGTCACTGCAAGTGGGAGGGGAATATTCCATAAATATATATATGAAGAGTTCAGAATGCAAAAGCCTCTAAGTGTCATCCGAAATTTTCTGACAGTTTAGTAATTTCACTTAAATGACAATTAATTGGTAATTGTCATTGCCATTTAAGTGAAATTACTGAACTTGATAATTATAATTCTAGAAAAAAAAAAATATATATATATATATATATAGACTACCAGTCTTTCTTAAAAGCAACAGGAAGCACACTACTATGTTATTAAAGTATATAAAGACTGGTAGTCTACATATATATATATATATATATATATATATATATATATATATATATATGCAGTGGCACCACATATTAACCTACCCTATAATACAGCAGAGATGCAACTTCATAGGCTAGAGAAATATAGCCGAGGACCATCTACACCTCGGAATAGAAATCAGATGCAGCTTATGCAAGATGTCAACATACATTACTCTTACTAAATAGGTTGACTTTATTATTTATGACTGAATTATTGGCATTTATGTGTGCCAATAATGCCTTTGCTAAGTGTGCCAACACATGCCTTTGCTCTGTGTTGTAAGTTCTCTCTTCATTTCCCAGTGGTAAATGTACATGATGTGTGTACCGTGTGGCAGACCCCAGCTGTGTGATTGTGTTATTGTGTTTACTGGCTGTGTGTGTGTAATCTGTTTGTCTCTTTAGCAATCAAACATTTCAATGTTGCTGAATCTGATGTATGTTTTGTGTGTTCAGGGATGGACGGATGTCTATTTGAGCTGGAACCCTGATAACTATCCTGGTGTTCAGAACCTGCGTTTCCCATCCAATCAGATATGGACACCAGATATTTTGCTCTATAACAGGTAACGGAACACAGTCACATTTACATGTTTCTGTTTTCTTTTAGCCTAAAATGCTCTTTCTTCTTAAACATGCTAAATAATCTGCCTTAACCTAACAACACAATAAGCCACTAGAGGCTCTCAGTGATTTTACCATCTACACACACGACGCATGCAAGAAGTGGCTTATTACTTTTATAAGACAACAGCAACATACAAATGACATAGGCAAGAAGAAAACTATTTTCGGTTGCCAAGAAACATACATTAGCATGTATATTGGATGTGATCAAAAATGTTTAAAAATGTTGGCGTTAGCAATAAGCATTTTTGGGGCAAAGGCTTGGCTCAGGAATATGCAGTAAGTAAATGGAATGTGCAAACACAATTCAATTTCAGTTCTATCAATCAATACACATGAAGTGACTAAGAGTAAATTTGTACTTCTGCTGTGTTGAATTGTGGCCGAAGGGACAGAGAAAGTGTATTTAATAATACATGAGCCCTGATTTCACTCAAACAGGAGAAAGCCAAAACCAAAATTTAGAGGAAACTGAGGTTTTTCTATCATTTGGCCAAAATCACATGTTATAAAAGATGAAGGGCTAGTACAAATCCACCTGCCAACAACAGCAGAACCATTAAAATATTTACATTGAGAAAAGCTTGATAACATTGAAATAATGCATTTAATTATTTTAAAATAATTGATTGTTTTGAAAATAATGTATTTTAAATATTTAATCATTAATTAAAATTGTAATTTCACAATATTACATTTTTTTTGTTTGTATTTTTGATCAAATTAATGCAGGTTTGATGTGCATAAGAGACTTCTCTCAAAAACATTAAAAATAGTAATGTTTCCAAACTTTTGACTGGTGCTGTATATATATATATATATATATATATATATATATATACAGTATATTAGAGATGTACGGATTTATCGGCCACTAATCAATATCGTCCGATTAAAGCTATTATTTTCGCTTTAAAAACAACCAACGATCAGTGCTGATTATATCCGATTATATCCGCCTCTTCACTACACTTCCCAGCATCCCTCTTGTCTACACACCTGCTTGTCATCATCGTCACCTGTGTTTAGTCAATTGTCATCATCTGTGCCACCTGTTTCTGTTAATTAGTATGTGTATTTAGTTCCTGCTTGTCTTCAGTTCAGTGTCCGGCTTGGACAAACTGGATTAAAGTCAACTTTTTATTTAATGGCAAGATGTATTTCTGATATATGTGACAGTTTCAATGTACCAGAAAACCTTGAGCAAATATCTTGTGGTGTAATAAATATATATGATGAGACGAGGATCATTTTATGTGACAAAATGTATACGGATTAGAATGTAGATGGAATTTGGAAGGATTTTAGGAAGGAATGAGAAGATATCTTTCTTTTTCTAAGAAATACAGGATTAGTTAACATTATATAGGTTATGTATAATTCTTATGAGTTTATTTTGTATATTTGTGTAATTATGTATATCTATATGGATAGGTGTATATGTAGGTGTGTGTGAGTGGTTATCAGGGTTTTTTTTTCTTGTCTTTTTTTTTTTAACTGAAGTATGTAAAGCCATGATTTTACACACTCCTGTACAGTAGGTCAAGTCACCTTTATTTATATAGCGTTTTTTTACAATACAGATTGTATCAAAGAAGCTTCACAGTGATAACATTAAAATAATACAACACAGATTTATTATATTGTTGAATATTAAATGTCCCCAACTAAGCAAGTCAAAAGCCAAGGCAACAGTGGCAAGGAACCAAAACTCCATCAGGTGACTGAATGGAGAAAAAAACCTTGGGAGAACCCAGGCTCATTCGGGGGCCAGTTCTCCTCTGGCCAACGAAGGAACAGTGTGATTCGGGTAGCATTACAAAACAAATTGAATCGAAACATTTTAAGTATTTGTCCATTTTCATCTGATTGGAAATGGACAAGCAGGTGGTGGTATGCACCTATAAATGCTGGTTTGCGATCCGCCATTAAACTAGAAGAAATAGAATTAGTTCAGTGTCCGTTCTTATGTGTATCACATGACATGAGTGTGTACCTTCTGGCAGTCTGCCTGTCTGAACCCTGGGTGTTGTTTATTGTAAGTAAAAGTTGTCGTTTTTAGAATTTTGGATATCTCGTCTTCCTTTGCCTACTCAACCCATGACAATCCTGTCAATCAAAAGGGTGCGGAAAAACATGTCAAATTGCAACGCATACAGTGTGTGAAGAAAATCTCCCTTGTTGAATTTAGAGCAAGTTAACGCGACCGCTATAACTGTTATAAAATAACAACGTTAATAGAGGCTTTATTTGACCCTTTGAATCACCCGTAGTTCAGGGTTGTCTGATATATGTTTTTTGCATACATTAAACTTTATTTGTAGAGCCTCCCATCCAATAATCACAAAGAGCTTTGTTACTTCTGATAAGAATTTATACAAATTTTATACATTTTTATAATGAAATTCTTATAATAAATGGGGTTTTGACGCTTTTAAATGTGAAAGATCGCTGTAGTGCCCCAATTCAATCAGCTGTTTTCTTCCACTTCAATACAATTTACATCTAGAAGGTTTGTTGAAAGATACAGTACAACTTACCGAAATCTGTATCATGACTCTTGTGTATCTCACTCAATCTGTTTCAACCGCTGAAAGACGTCAACTTGTGAACAATATCACTTCCACCGTCTGGCCGGACGGTTCCACCGTCTGGCCGAACGGTTCAAAGAATGGTTAGGAATGGTTCCAGTTGTATTTTTGAATTCTCTGCACAGTTGTCTGACTGTAAATATCTGATCAACCTGTCATGATTCTGCCAGTGTCCTTGATTTTTATTTAGTCTTGAGGCAGGATCATGAGTTTTGTGTGCAAGCATATGGCCTTGTGTTTTTGCCATGTGCTTGTGTTGTCTCGTTACCTAACAACACCCCCTTGTTATCCTTGTCTTGTCATCATGGTCTAGTCTGCTTCACCTGTCCTTGTCATTAGGGTTCCCTATTTAATCCCCTTGTGTTTGCAGTCCTGTGTTGGTTCATTGTCAAACTTTGTTACACACATTGTGTGAGTTAGTCTACCTGTGAGAACCCTGTTTTAGGAAGAAGTCTTGTTTGTTTGCTACTTGTATTTACTGTCAGTTTAGTGTCTAGATCTTGTCTAGAAAATTCTAGTTTTGTTTCGTTTTGCCCCCTCGTGTGTTATGTTTTCCTGTTTTTGTACCAATGAACCACGTGTTCTTTGCATTCTGTCTGCATTTGGGTTCATCTCCTCGCATCCCATGACACAACCTCCTTAACGCAGACACCATTTACAGTACTTCACCATTTACAGTATCTCATATTGTCTGTTTATTATTGTGTCAACAAGACAGTGATTGATTTTTTTTGTATTACATTCTGAAGAGTGGCCGTTATCTGCTCCAGAGTGGAAAATGAAACCACATCAGTGTCTCGTTCCCTGTTCTCAGGGAACACAGGTTACAGACATAACCTGAAAGGTTCTCTTTCGAAAGGGAACTCTCACTGTATCAGAACACTATGGGGAATGATCTACCCACGCTGCCATGCTGAGGGGCGTGCATACCAAATTATGGCTGTGACAAAATATGTCAAAAAACACTCCCCCTTCAGGTCACACACAGGCTGTCAGTGACCGTATTCCCTATGGCCACTGCCCAAGCCAAAAAACCCTTTTGCGCCGCCGTCACAGTTACATCACGGCACTAGCTGGAGGCAAAACAAAGTGAAAACTGGAGGCGGCCAATACAAAACAGCACAGATTCGGCAACATAATAAGGAGCTTAAATAATTGTTACTATTATTAAATGTCATCACGCTGTATCTGGAACTTTTATTTCTAGAAAATATTCACATCATTAAAATTGCACTGTAATTTCACTCTTTACATTGTCGTGGTCTCGGCAGAACTGCGGGTCGTACACACAAGTCTTGTACAGGACCATATAGGCATCTAAAAATTTATATGCCCTCAGTTTCTATTTACTATCGGTTTCTCTATAAGGTAGGTGTAAAAGTCAGGCCACTCAACCGAGGTAACGTACGTTAATCCTGTCAGATCGTGTGGTGTGTAGGCGGCTACAGGTCGGCCAATCTGGCCAATCGCAGTCCTGGACACTGAGTGACCTTACACATTAAGATAATATCGGATTTTCTCCAGTCATTGTTAAAAAACAAGCTAACAACCCTTGCTAACTAGCGTTAGTGAAGCGGCCAGATGGATCTTTCTGGCTCCACCTAAGCTCCGCCCACATAAAAACGTCACCATGTTTGCCAACTGTAAAAGGGTCTATAAGAGGCCTCAGATACAATGAAGGCCTACCACGGCTGCTCAAAGCTTTGGAACCAACAACATCTGTGTTCGGGTTTCCTTTAAGGGAATATAGCCTGGGGGTCCTAAGGAGTCCGGTGGACTGAGGTGGACATGAAGTCAACCCCACATACCACCAGGGAGGCTGACCTGGTATAATGACCTAGTCTTGCCAACAACCTGTCTGTTTCCTAATGGTCATCCTGTAGAGTAGAACTCTGCATAGCGCTTTCTAACCCTTGTGAACGAGGGGAGTAATTCTACCCAATCCTGGACCTACACAGTGCTTTAAAGCCATATGGAGGCTGGGCACTCTGAAAGGGACCCTAATAGGGGTGCGCTTCCAGCTCTAGTGCTGATCTAACAGGAAGGCCTTGCGAGTCCTTCGACTTCCCAACAAGACTTAGGGAGCTAAGTATTCATATAGAACGATCCTTGGATTCTGAAACACCATACTCAAGACCTGATAAGTATTGACCAGGCTCTGGGCTAGATTTTGCTTTTGCAATGTTAAGCATCCAACTCGTTGGGGTTCCTCCTTCAAGGGGACCTTGTCAAGGCCTAACTACTTGATAGCGGAACTGTTAGAGCTAGTTACAGAATTCAGGTGCCCTCACAGACATGTGGGCCTGTTTAGACTTATTTTACATTGCCAACAGGCTGTGTACTCAGCA